ATAGAATATAGTGTGTTTATAAGCTTTTTTTTTTAAACAAGAATGATGTTTTTAAGAGATGAGGTTATTTAGGGAATCTAGAAGTCAGGAGCTTTTGGAGGGCATACTGCAGTATAAACTAACTCTAGGCTTACTTTAAAATAGTTTCTTTGTCCCTTCCTAGACATGTAGATTTTATACATAAATGTTTGATTTATTTTATAGCCACTATATAACCAGCCATCAGATACCAAGGTGTACCATGAGAACATCAAGACGTAAGTGTTTATCATCTTTGGAGTTCTTCAGTTAAAAACCATATATTCTATAAAAAGATCATTTTTATCTTATCTGTTGACATTATAACATAGTATAGGTGTGTTTTAGATTTGTGTAATTTGCTGTTGTTTTACTATATGTTATCTTCCACTGGCTTCTTGGGGGTTGGGGTAACAGCTTTGAGTTTCCGAGGCAAAAAAAAAAAAGAAATAAATTATTGCATAAAACTAGCTGGTTTTATAATCTGCTAGTAAAAAAAAAGGTGGATACTTAAGATTGAAATGGCTTACCTTGAGGCTTGAATTTTTTGCCTCCTGTTTTGTCTTTTTTTCAGTGGAGTACCTGCAAGGCGCATGATGAAGTAAGATAATGAAGCTTTTTCATTTAAGACTAGTGATGACACCGTCCCCTACCAAGCCACATCTGCCATTGCAAAGTAGAAGTGCCACGGATCATTTTGTCATTATTCAAAATCCTATTCTAGGGAAATCCCTTCCATGACTCTTGCTAATGACGGTATTTGTAGATCCTTCTGCCATTTAATGTCCTGGTGCCTTGGAAGTGCTCAGTCACCTCATGTGGGTGAGGAGGCAGCTCCAGAATGTAGTTTGCTTAGCCTTGCTCTTCCTAGTACCAGGCTTTTATGGATACAGATCTTGGAATAAGAAAATAAGTGACAAGAATATCTAATTTCTTGATCTGATTGAAGTAAGAGAGGAAGCTAGATAGATAATCCTTTTTTCTTTATACTTTAAGAGCATTTTAGGTGACTTATTCTTTGTGACAAAAATGTGATTTTTTTACGTTATATGTTTTGTTAAGTATAACCAGAACATTATAATTACAAGTACAGTTATTAATGAACACATTGCTTCTTGTACATATTTTTACTTTTTTTTTATTTCTGAGTGTGTGCAATTTAACTACTTTGCAGAATTGGTGGCAAATATAATTTGCATGGTAGTATGCATGAAAACCATTAAATTTTAATAATTTTAACTTTTGTTAAGTAAATAGTAAAAGTCATATAATTAAGGCTTTTCTATGAGATGCTGCTGTGGTCTTGACAATCCTTAGAAGTAGATTAGGTATAATTCATATAAACTATATCTTTGTTTTGGAAATGTTTATCTATTTTAACATTTTAAAAATGGAGAATAACAGATAAAATCTAGTTGGGTACTTTTAATGACTTCCTACAAAGCTTCAGTTTATGTTTGTGTTTTGTCTTCTCAATGTAAGCTGGAGAGCAGTTCTATCTTTGTTTTATTTCAAATTATTCACATTGCCTATTTATTGCTTATCACAGTGTCCTGAGATGAGTTACTGACTGGCTGACTTCATTTAAATTCTCAGGAAGCACTTAAAATTGTATTTATTGTTTGTCATTTGCTTTTGAGTAGTACCTAATTACAATTAGAGCAAATTGAATATATGGTAATGTGCCCACTGTATGCCGCCTCTTGAAAATACTCAGCTGCATGCATCCATATAAATCGTTCAGTAGCTATTCTTTCATCATCGTCATTTGCGCTGTATGAAATAGCAAATGTACCTTTTAATAATTCTTTTCATCTCTTGGCTACTTTTTCATATAGCCAGCTCCTGATTGTCCATGCTTATTTGAGTGGAGCCAGTGTACTGTTAGTCCCGAGTGGCAGATAATCCAAAAAATTACTTCTACTTGCCTTGGCTTTGTATTTGTATTTGAATAATCTGCTTGAAACCCTTTCTGGAAGTAGGTGGGGTATAAATATTTATATTTGAACCTGCATGTCATTGTTTTTGAAGGTCGCAATGCTTCCAATTTAAAAAGTGAAACTGTTGCATTAAGATATAGGAGAAATCTTCCTGTCTTGTCACATTTCCCTCCATTACTTCTTAGAATAGATTGTGTCATTCCTGTGATAGAAGAAAGTCTTCTGTGTAAAGCAGAAGTCACCTCTCTAAATATGTTGATGTATGTTCTTCTTATAGGAGGGAGGTCAGCCCCTAACTTCAAGTAAGGAGGTACCTAGAAAAGCTTTTCTTTCTCTTCTGCCTCCCTTCCTGTAAGAGTATACAAAGATGTTGATATCACCAGACTTCTTAACAAGAATCAGTGTCTGTGTAATTATAATTTGAAAATAATATATGCCCTATAATTGAATGTATTAATTAAACATTAACTGTCATATCATCTTCTTGTAGAATGTGAGGAATTTTAGTCAGCTCTAATTACCATAAAAAATATAAAGTCTTATTTTGCAGGGTGAAAAAATTATTATTAATTTTCATTACATCATAAATTCTTAAGTGATCTTTGCCTGTTTTCCAGTGTCTCTGGAAAAAAAAAAAAGTGAATGAATCATTAAATTATGCTTTTTCTTAATGTCATGCAACCATATTTTTCTCTTCTAGAAACCAGGTGATGAGGAAAAAACTCATTTTATTTTTTAAAAGAAGAAATCATGCAAGAAAACAAAGGGTGAGGTCCTATCCTTGTTAACTGAAATTTGTACAGCTTTTCCATTCATGCTCATTTAGGCATTCACTTTCTCATTAGTGAGAATGGTTCTTGATTATATTGAAAATAAATGCTGATTTAGAAAGAAATTATACATGTGACTTATATATAAATCTGATTCTAGTAATATTTTAATGCTACATTTAATATCATCAAATTAATTTCATTGGTCATCTGTATATATTTTCATGTAGCCAAAATAAAGGAAATGGTGAGTAGTTTAAAAAGATAGTAAAGACAAATGAAATGATCTGCATTTAGTTTCTTAAGCTTCAGACAAATGTGGGTAAGTGTTAGTCCTTCCAATCAGACATTGCTCTTGTGAGAAATTGAGTCAACTACAGTTTGACATTTTAAAATTAAAATAATTTCTTATATTTAATTATATTACTCGCTGGCCAAAAGTTTTGTGGTTATAATCATAAAAGTTGAGTTTCAGGGCCGGGGATTTAGCTCAGTGGTTCTACCACCTGCGTTGCAAGCAGAAGGACCCAAGGTTGATCCCCAGTACCAAAAAACAAAACAAAACAAAAAAGTTGAGCTTCAGAAAATATAATGTCAGTATTCTTATTTTCATAATATGGTCATTTTAATTTTACAGATAAACTATTGATACATTTAAATGTAGGTGTTTAATAAACAAAACTTTAAAACCATATCAGAAATTCACTTTATACCTTACATTTAATGACCTGACAGCTTAATAAGTTATAAAACTTAAGAGGGAGTAAGTTTTATTTGTGTGAAATTTGCCAGTTTTTCTCCTTCAGACACTACTATCCTAAATTACTGGTTTTGAACTTTTGTATTGCTGAGAACACATAAATATTAAGTAAGAAATTGGCTCATATTTTTTTTTCCCATTCAATCATTTTATTGTAATTGTGGTACTTGCTGAATTAGCTCACTAGTGATGCAAATACAGGAACTTAGACTTTTTCACACTTTTCACACGTCAGTGAGTCAGTATAAAGTTCACTGAGTTGCTTGCTTAATAGTATTTATGGACTGTGTACTCTGACCCATGTATTATTCTACAAAAATCAGTAAGATAGCCATATAGTGTAGACCTTAAGAGAGATATGTCAGCAAGCAGATACACTATTGTGATCATACTGTGGTTGTGCACTCAACAGATAACTGTGAGAGCATGCTGTAACAGGAACATCTAATGCAGCTGTGAATCAAAAAGAAATGTTACACAGGAAAACTAATTCTCTGCAAACTTGTACAATCAGAGAGAACACATCAAATGAAGTAAGAGTATGGCAGGCTCAGAGCTGGCTGGAGCTTGGACTAAGCTGGAGGTGGGATGAGAAATGGGTCTGCTAAGGGAAGCCAGGGCCGGGTCTTACACTGCCTTGGAGGTCACCTAGTAGACTTTGAATCGATACTAATGGTCCCTTGTAAGTTGTTAAACATAAGAGGTATAATGCTCAGGTTTGTATTTTAAGAATTTATATCTAGCCACACATTAAGAATGCAGGGGAAACTTAAGAAGCCTCTATTGTTTTAACTTGGGTGAATGATGACGTTGGCCTGGATTAAGGAGTAGCAGTGGAGATAGAAAAAGGTAAAGAATGAAAAAGGCATATAGGAGTTGAAAAAATGATTAGAAAGGGGTGTGGTGTAAGTGTGAGGAAAAAGTTTTTTTTCCAGTGCCTCTTTCTTGAGATGATCAATGTGTTTTCCTGAGTCCCTCCTTGCTTTTCTCTGTCCATGTATTGTTAGATGTGTACCAACTCTGTATCCATAACGAAAGGTTCTCTTTTTCTCTGTTTAGAAAATGGGATCATAATTTGCTTGTCCTCATGCATTAATTCTTGATTTCATGTATTTCATTGGATTTCTTTTTATGATTAAAATACAGTGAATTTCTGCCTTTTCAACCTTGTTAAAAATGATTATTATAGCATTTACTTATAGTAGCAAAAAAACTGCAACAACCAGAACATCCAACAATAGAAGAACAGTTAAATGTGCGTATTTTCTCTAGTGGATTGGAAGGATAACAACTAAATGCTCATATTTGCCTCTGGGTCATTGGACAGATTATGAACTTTCTAATCCCTCCCCTTTTTGGACAATGAAGACATGTTATCAGAAAAACAAGAATAATTGGCCAGCTAATAGTAATGAATCATCAAGCAGTTTGTTAATTTCTATAGTCCACATGTTTACTAAAATTTCAAGGCAAAATATGCTCTTTATGTTGATTTTGGTTAGGAAACAGCTTCCCTTTTCTCTCCTCTTTCAGATGAAGGACTGCTTTTCATTCACAATTGAGTCATGGGTTAAATGTCTTTCCAACTTAACCTTAAGAAATAAAATTTATTTTAAAGTATTAGGATTTTCAGAATCACAGAGTTTAGTTATTAATTTGCTGCGGATATTTAATAGGAACAAAAAATCTGCCAACGATATGATCAGCTCATGGAGGCATGGGAGAAAAAAGTGGACAGAATAGAAAATAATCCCCGGAGGAAAGCTAAAGAAAGCAAAACAAGAGAGTACTATGAAAAGCAGTTTCCAGAAATTCGAAAGCAGAGAGAACAGCAAGAAAGATTTCAGCGGTAAGTAGTTTGATGCATATTAGTTGTGATGTTTTCCTTGAAATCCCACTTTTGCTGTTGCACAGTATTTATTATTTCCTGAATCTGATCAAGAAAGTTCATAAAGAACTTTTATATTGAGTATGGGATTTCATTACCAACCAGTAAAGATTATGTCTTTGTAAGTTTAATATTATGTATAATCATTGAGTTGAATTTAAGTATAAGTGAATATTTTGAAATTAATTCTTTGGATCTTGAAAAAAATCAGTTCCTTGGGAAATGACTAGACCAGACTGTCTCTTAGTAATTAGCAACATAATCAAAAGCATTAAACCGATTGCCAATTAATTAAGAATTTTTTTGGTTTTGGTAGGTCCAATAGTTCCTTATTTGTTTTTATTTTTAGAGAACAAGTGTTTTGCACATGTCTTAAAAGCTTTATTTTTCTTCATTGTTTCATATAGGAGTCATATAAACTCCTTTATTTACTATTAATATTTTGTGAGATATACTGGATGTTTTTATTTATTTATTTTTTGGTACCGGGGATCGAACTCGGGTCCTTGCGCTTGTGAGGCAGGTGGCGGAACCACTGAGCTAAATCCCCAGCCCTGTCCCTTGTTTTTAAAATGTTTGATGTATTTTCCTAAGCCCGCTATCCAGTTTTCTAGAACACTGACAACAGACTGCTAATTATAATGGACATTGCCATCAATAACTTGTTTTTCCACAACTAGTTCTACTATTCGCACTTGGACATTTAACCTTTAATTCTCAATTTTAGCATTTAAATTATTATTAACTTGATTAGGTTGACTCAGGCACATTACTTAAAAGTATTTAGTCAATACAGTGGACCCTTGACTTACGAACTCAGTTCATTTGCAAGGGGTGATTATAGCTCATGTTGGGCAGTTGAAGAATCAGGCTCCTTCAAAAGTCAGCCTTCAAAGTCTCTCTCTCCTATATACAGGCAGATCTCAGTGTCCTTAGAGAGACATTGGCCCAGGATTTCCCAATCCCATATAGGAAAGGATGCTGTAATGTTCCTTCCAGAACTCTTTAAGGGTTAAACCTGTGTCTGAGACCATCTGGAAGCACAAGTAGCCAACATTCAGGTTGTAATTTAAGACTTTGTTCATAAGTTAAAACTAAAATTTCAGTCATAACCTAAGTCATTCATATGTCAGGCCTGTAGTAACTTGATGGTCCACTGTATAGTAGTTTAGGCTTCTTCTCTGACTTTCATTTGGTTAAAAATCCTGTTCTGGGGCCTGGGTTTTAGCTCAGTGGTTCCGCTGCCTGCCCTGCAAGCGCAAGGACCCGAGTTCGATCCCCGGTACCAAAAAAAAATATCCTGTTTTGAGTAATTTATAGAAATTTCATTGCTGAATCTTCTTTATAAAAGACCTTTAAATATAGTTATGATTTCTCCTTCATATTTAGAGTTGGGCAGAGGGGAGCTGGTCTTTCAGCCACCATTGCTAGGAGTGAGCATGAGATTTCTGAAATTATTGATGGTCTCTCTGAACAGGAGGTAAGAAAATAAATTGATTTGATTCAAGTTGATTAATAAATTATTATTAAAGGGAATTTTAAATGCTTTATTTTGGATTATTCCAAAGACTGTAACCAAATCATTGAAGGGCTTTTTGGTGAGTCACAAAGATGCCTTTGGCAGCAGGAAAACCTGGGGTCAGATGAGAAAGCTGTTATGATAAAAAATAAGGATCCAGCGTCAGCGTGGTGGTACATGCCCACAGTCCCAGCGCTCTGAGAGTCTGAGACAGGAGGATTGCAAACTGAAATCCACCCCAGGCAATTCAGCGAGACTCTGTATTAAAATAAAAAGTAAAAGAAGGTGCAACACAGTGCAGAGGCTCCAGGTTCAATCCCCAGTTATGCCCACCCCCACCCAAATAGACCTACGTTAGGGCAGCAGTGGTAGGGTAGTAGAGATAGATAAGAGGGGAGGTAGAATGGATGGGATAGATGGAGTGTGGCATGAGAAAGGAGGAATACAAACAGACTTCCTGGTTTCGAGTTTCTAAAGTTGTGAGACAACTTTGCAGATGGCAGGCAGTAGGTTGTCTGAAGTTTGTTTTCTAGCCAGGTGAACTTGGGAGAAAGTTGAACTAGAGAGTTCATCTGTATGCAGGTCAAATACTTCAGGCATGGGTTACATGAAGTGAAAAGGCAGGTGAATGAGTATATGGATATTAAAACTAAATGCAAAAGGGCCGGGGATTTAGCTCAGTGGTTTTGCCGCCTGCCTCACAAGTGCAAGGGCCTGAGTTTGATCCCCGGTACCAAAAAAACCCAAAAGAAAACCTAAATGCAAAAGAGGTTCGTTTATGAATAAGAGTGCCATTTCACAAATTTTTACTGAGAAAATATACTTTTGTATAGTTAGTAGGTTTAATTTGTTTTTCAGGCATTTCTTTGCCTGTGTCAAGTACAGACTTAATAAAATTATGAAACAATTAAATTTGAAGAGTGTAACATCTAGGCCCAGCAGCAATATTTCCACCCTTACGAAGAAGCTTCCTCATTACTTTCCCACAACAGAATTAATCAATATCTGATTAATTTCATTTTACATTTATTTGTATTATATAATTATCTTTATGTTCAGTAATTGTATATGATCACTTTGAATATCGTCTTCATGAATATAATTACTATACCTTTGGAGCTATCTTTGAATTTCCTGTTCCTAATATTTAGTAGTATATTAATAAATAAAGAGTAAAAATACCGTTCGGTTCCTAAGGTTAGTCTTCTCCAACCAGGTTCAAACCATCTCTTAAGGCTGGTCCAAAAGCCATTTGCTATTTATTGATTTAAGCTCATTTTGTTTTTATGCTATGGCTTTTCTTAAACTTCTTAAAATTCTGAACCTTATTTGTTGTAGTCATTCCCTTAAGTAATAATCAAAGATAATTATTACAGTCTTATATATTTCAAAATAAATGCTAACTATAAGTGAATATGTAAATATTAGCTTCCAAGGGTAGGAATATTTTGAGGACTTAAATATGTACCTAATAATTTATTTGCAAGAATAAGGTAGATTTAATCTAAAATGTTGAATGATTTAGAAATAATAAATTAAGTAAAATTCCTGCATGTATACTGTTTAGCATATTTAAAAGTAAAAGGTAAAAAAATAAAATAAAATAAAAATCAATAAATAAAAGGTAAACTGGGTGTGGTGGCTCACATCTGTCAGGAGGATCACAAGTTCAATGTGAGATTGGGCAACTTAATGAGACCTTGTCTCAAAATAAATAGGGCTGAAGGTATAGCTCAGTGGTGGAGTGGTTGCCTAGTTTGTTCAAGGGCTTGGGTACAATCCCTATTACCATCAAAAAAACAAAACAAAAACCCTAAAACGCAGTGTCATGAATCCCTGTACTCCATCTTTTACTATTAACTTAATTTGGCCAATATTTTTTCTCTTATCTGTGGCTATTGGTTTAGGTTGTGGGATTAATTACATGTTTGCTTTTTGGAAAGGTAAATTTTAGGGATATAGCTACTTTTTAAAATTGCTTTTGGGCTGGGAATTTAGTCACCTTCCTCGAAAGCACAAGGTCCCAAGTTCAATCCCCTGGTACGCCCCAAAAATTGCTATGATAAGCACTTTATGTGTATTATCACATTTAAACTCTGAAAATTCTGTGAGGTGGAAACTTTTGGAAGTGACCAAAGAAGGTACAGGTTAAATAATTTACCCAAGGTCCCAAACCAATAAGTAATAGAACCAGATGTCCCACCCGGGCAGCCTGATGCTGGGATCCTGTGCTCTTTCTCATGTCTATATTCAGTCAGGTGCATTCTTCCAACAGATATAAACAACCTCCCTGTTAAGTGCTAAATTTTGTAGCAGGAATTGGGAATAAATATAATGGTGAGTTAAACCATCAATTTAATCATCTCATAAAGTTAAATTCCTAGCAAGGGGGATTTCTAATCATTTTGTACCTATGTGTGTGTTGTATGTTAATCGTTTAGACTGTGTGTGTGTGTGTGCTTGTTTGTTTATTTTGGTTTTTTGAGACAGGGTCTCACTATATAATTCAGGTTAGCCTTGAACTCTGTGCAGTCCAGGCTGGTGGTGCTGCTGCTGTTCAGTCTCCTGAGTGCTGGGATTACAGATGTGCACCACTATGCCCAGCTGCTAGCTTGTGTTTTAAAAACACACTTTCTGTGAGTTTTCCTCCAGGACAAGAAAGTAGCCCATTTGTAGTTTGTCATTTTATTGTATGTATGGTAGGATTCCATTAGTATTTGATGTGGCACACTATTTTGCCTTCATGATCAAATAAAAGTATATCATGTGTTCTTACAACTTATTTCAGAATTCTTGTCACATTAGCCCTGAAAGAGGTGGAAAAGTGTATAAACTGAGTTCTATGAGCTACCGTAGGTCTCAGATTGTTGTTGTACCAATCAAAGTAGACCTTTACATGGTGGTTTTTCCTTCCTTTTTCACTTTTGATATCCTGCTTTCCCAAGGAGGAGATCCAAAGTGGTTTTTGGTCCTTTGATATATATAACCTGTGAGGAACAATTTTACTCAAGCATTTCTTGAATTGTTATTTAATGTCAAGGTCTCATCCTTTCTTACAGCTGTTTTACAAGTCATTTAATAGTGATCTAGAGCACTACAGCTTTACTTCTGTCTGGGCTGGGTGAGATACATTTCTTTTGGGACACATTTACATTGTTGTCTTGGAAAATTAATACATAATGCATATAATATTGCATAATTTCAGTGCAAATGGAGTTTTCATTTCTCTTGTAGCAGTCTACTCAGGGGCTTTAAAACATAACCATTCATATTATATTGCTTAAAAATTTTTTTTTTTTGGTACTGGGGATTGAACTCGGGCCCTTGCGCTTGGGAGGCAGGCAGCGGAACCACTGAGCTAAATCCCCGGCCTGTTGCTTTTAAAATTGCCTGTAAAATGTATGATTGAGAGGACATCTATCTCTTGAAATTTATTTTGTTTCTTTGGTTTTTTTTGGGGGGGTACCGGGGATTGAACTTGGGACCTTGCACTTGCACGGCAGGTGCCAGAACCACTGAGCTAAATCCCCAGCCCCCCTATATCTTGAAATTTATAGCCGTAATAACTGCAGTGACTACAGCTGTGTTAAATTTCTTTGCTTATTTTTTCACAGATCCTGATAGGGAACATCTACAAGCATTCCAAACTTTTTTATCACTTGAGGTGATTTTAAGCTAATGTGCCTGCCTCCAACACTGATGTTCAGACTGCTTGAGAGTACCCCACAAAATTAGAGACTTTGGGGCTAGGTGGGATAGATCAGTGGTAGAATATTTGCCTAGCATGCATAAATGTGGTTCAATCCCTAGTACCACCACAAAAAAGAAAAAAGTTAGGCTTTGTAAGGACTTAACTAGTGGCGGTATCCATCTCTATGTGGAAAATTTTTAGGAGAAAGCTTTGTATTTGGGCAAATACTTTTGATAAGTAATTTTGATAAGTTTTTTAAAAATGAAAGTTAATGATCATAAACATCCTAAGTCAAACTTTGGAAAAAATAATTTGTATACAGCTGGGTTTGGTGGCGCACAATCCTATAATCCTAGCATTCAGGAGGCTGAGGGAGGAGGATTGCTGTGTGTTTAAGGCCAGCCTAGGCTACATAGTGAGATTAAGGTTAGCCTGAACTACGTAGCGAGACCCTGTCTCAAAAATTTAAAAACAAGGTCTTAAATTTTTAGTGAAAGGATTATGTAAAATTAGCAAAAAATATTTAGTATGTGTGTAGGCTTAGGTAATTTTCTTTTCTTTTTCTTTCTTTTTTTTTCTTTTTTTTGAGACAGGGTCTGGCTGTGCAGTTCAGGCTGGCCTTGAACTCATTATGTAGCCCAGGCTGGCCTTGAACTCATGGCAATCTTCCTGCCTCAGCCTCCCAAGTGCTGGGATTACAGGCATGTGCCACCATGCCCTGCACTGGCTTAGGTAATTTAAGATCAATGACTTAAAGATTTTGATGCCTGGTTGTTTATTTTTTTATTGTTCTCTAAAATGATGCTAAGATTTGTTTTCTAAAATGTTGTTTATACTAGTTTTAAATAATACTATATGATAATAAATGCTACATGAAGTCATTACTTTAATGAACTTGGCATCATTTTGTATCTTCTAGGTCTGAAATATCTTCTAAGTATCACATTCATTTAAGTAAGGAACTGTTTTCAAAGTATAGGTTATAAGACAAATATGTAATCTCTGCATCTATAATTAATTTAGTGAGTATGAAGTGTATGAGTAATTGCTATATGTTAGGTGCTATGAGGCATTACTGTAGTAGGTGCTATTGTCAAACAGTGTTTTTAAATGTCTTTTAAGAGAGTTATTCTACTTCCTTTTAAAATTTGTAGTTTAAATTTTATTATAAGTAAACTGCTTTTTTTTTCCAGAATAATGAGAAACAAATGCGACAGCTCTCTGTCATTCCACCTATGATGTTTGATGCAGAACAAAGACGAGTCAAGTTCATTAACATGAATGGACTTATGGAGGACCCTATGAAGGTTTATAAAGATAGGCAGTTCATGAATGTTTGGACTGACCATGAGAAGGAGATCTTTAAGGACAAGTAATTTAAATTTTAAATTATTCTCTAATAGCAGATTATATAAGTTTGTAAAAGGGTGTGGCATTTACTTGTAAATTGAACTGTTTCCTCAAAAACTCGGTCCCTTTTTGACATAGAATGGATATTATGAGAAGTAGAAAATATTGATCCTCCCATAAGTTTGTAGGTGGGTGAAGAGGTAATGGATAAGAACTGAGTAAACAGAGTCGTTAAAAGAGAATTTCCCAAATTTGGAATCTGTGCAGATCACTTTGGGAAATTTTTTGTTTTTGTTTTTTTGACAGCACTGGGGGATTAAACCCAGGGCCTTTGCACTGAGCTACATCCCAAACCCTTTTTATTTTTAATTGTGAGACATAGGTTGCCCAAGTTGGGCTCAAACTTGTGATCGCCTCAGCCTTTCACCATGTTGTTATTAAAGGATTGCATCACCACACCTGGCTTGTGGAGCTTTTTGAAAATACAAATTTCTCGGGCCAGGGATTTAGCTCAGTGGTGCTGTGCCTGCCTGGCAAGCTCAAGGTCCTGAGTTCACTTCTTGGTACTGGAAAAAAAATTTTCTTTGCCGTAGATCAGTCTCATCAGTGCTTAGTAGATGGTTCTCAGGACGCTACCCTTTAAAACTCTAATGATTATGCAGTTATTACTCAGACTGATAGAGAGGAATCACAGGAAGTTAGTCTACATAATATTTCTTATTCTGAGGTTTTCTTTAAGCTATTAAAATGTTTGTGCCTATGTATGTTTTTATTTTTGTTTTACTCAGGTTTATCCAGCATCCTAAAAACTTCGGACTAATTGCATCATACTTGGAAAGAAAGGTTAGAAATGGTTTGCATTGAGAATATTTGTAGATTTGTGATGTTGTTACTTTGGAATTTTTGTGCTCTTAACAAGCAACAATAGTTAAGTAGAACCGATTTTGCAAAAAAAACCAATTAGAAATGATTCTAATTAATTATAATTATATAAATTATAGGCTGGGGATTTAGCTCAGTGGTTTCACCACCTGCTGCGCAAGTGCAAGGACCCGAGTTCGATCCCTGGTACCAAAAAAAAAAAATTATATATGCAATGATAATTAAAATTATTAGAAGTCCTTAGCACAGAACACAGAACTATTTTTCATGGTTAATGATAAATGACCTCAGCTTATATTTTCCTAAAATTATATAGCTTATAGTGCTTTTTAAAAGTAATTAAATTTTTTTTTGCTACTGGGGATCAAACTCTGGACCTTGTGCTTGCGAGGCAAGTGGTAAATTTCTAATTAAAATGTAGTAGTACTGATTTCCTCAGTTTTTTTTTCCACAGTGAATTGACTTTAGTGTCCTTTTTCTTTTCTTTTTTTTTTAGTTTTCATTTTTAAGACCTTGTCTCACTGTATATTCCATGCTGGCCTTGAAATCACTAGGTAGCCCAGGTTGGCCTGGAATTCCAGGTGGTCCTTCTGCCTCAGCCTCCTGGGAGCTGGGATTTCAGGCATGTGCTGCAACACTCGGCTGGCTTTAGTGGTCTTAAAATATTTAAAGGGACGTTTTGAATATTTACATATATGAGGCAAAACAGTTTCCTTAGAAATTAATATTAAATAAAGTATTTGAATGGATCTTTGTGTCTATAAATGTCTGTATAGTAACTGTATTTTTAGAGCTCACACATGCCTTAAAATACTAGCTATCCTTATATGCGCCTTTTTAATTTATACTTTGGGAATAACAAATTTACTTTGAAAGTATTTTACTTAAATTTTTAAAAATTTTGTTGAATTATCAAAAAGAACTTTTTCCTTTACAGAGCGTTCCTGATTGTGTTTTATATTACTATTTAACCAAGAAAAATGAGAATTATAAAGCCCTAGTAAGAAGGAATTATGGGAAACGCAGAGGCAGAAACCAGGTATGTTTTATTATTGTATGAATGATGTTTTAGGGTTAATAGAAATAGCAAGAAAAAAATGTTATAACAGGAGATTTGAATTTAATGTATATTTTAGAGATTACTATTAGGTTGTTATAAATGTTATAATTATTTAGAAATCTTTTATTTTTCATATATTTCAAGTTACTAGTGTGATAAAATTAATTTGAAAAGTTTTGTATTTTCCTGTTACCTGAATCTGTATTTCAGCATTAATAATAATCATGTCATTAAAGCCAGGGATTTAGCTCAGTGGCGCCTCACCTGCCTCACAAGTGCAAGGTCCTGGGATCTATCCCCTGTACCCGCCCCCCCCATCATGTAATTAAATATGAGATCCATCACACCTTACCTAATATAACATCTTTAACCACTTCTTTTGTCTGAGCAGGGGACAGGTAGGGTAAGGGAGAGAACGATAGCTTGGTAACCAGCGTGGATGATTGTTTACTGAAGCGGTTGAAACCTGATCTTGTTTCATATTAACTTCATTTGAGGCGTTTAAGTAGTTTAACCCTTAAAAAGTTTACCTAAAAGGGAAGTTTTTCACAAGTATATTTTCACAGTTGCAATTCACTGGTTTCAAAACTTTGTCCCCCAGAATAACCAGTCAGCAGCTATTACAGCTCATATATGTATTACCAATGAGGCTGCTGCAGTAATGCTTTTGTCTGCTGCTCTCCTCATCCAGATAGAGAGTGCACTGTGGACTTTTATTCATGAGCTCTAATTGCTGCTGCCTCCTGGCATTCCACAGTCTCTTCTGGTTTCCTGCACAGCTGACTTTTCAGTGTATTGCATCTTAGTCCTTTTCTTCCCTTACAAGGCCTGGTCAGCCTGGTCAGCCTGGTCAGATAGAGCTTTTTTTGACTTAGATCTCTATTCAGAGTCATAATCTTCTTATGTTTTCTGAGTTTTTCCTGCAGAATACTACTATCTCAAAAGATGTGCTTACATATTCTTTGGAAACAGTATTTCTTGGTTGAAAAAAGTATAGTTACTATTTCATGAGGTAGCTGTGTGAAAATGCTGCTAGAGGCTGAGTAAGCCGAAACCTTTAAATATGCATTTTCAGTGGATTGGTGAGTGGGGTACAAATACCATTATGCTGAGTTGGAAAAGATCATTAGAAGGTGAGAAAATGGCAATAGTATAGGTGTACTCATTGTAAAAATTGTATAAGGGAACAGTGAAATGGCTTGGTAGGACTAATAATGATCAGAATGGAGAGAAAAGCACCTGCTTGTACTCTGATAAGAATAATATCACAGAGACAGAGACATAGATAATTGTTGTAGAGCTCCATAAAGATATACTGACTGAAGAGGAACAAATTGAATATTGGCAGTGAGATAGGAAATACCATTCTGCCAGAGATGGGAGTATTGCCGGAGGTTTTCTTCCTGCTTCCCTTGAAGAAAGTGAGATCAATACCCTCTGTCTTCCTTTAGCTAGAGATGCTGGGAATCTCTTAGACAAGGTTCAGCTACACATTTTTAATAGTAGATTTATTTATTACAAAATAATACTTATAACTATTATTAGTTTTAGGAATTATGTGTTACATTTAAATTTTTTTAGTTCTATACAAGATACTAAGGTAATACGATTATACCCTATATTGCCAGATGTGGAAAAAATTGCAGCAGGAAGTTTTGTGTGGGAAGGAGTCTCTTTCATTCTGAGAAACTTGTTTTCCATCTCTGTGTTCTCTGGGATGTTTCACTTCTCAATTTGGCATAGTTCCACATCAGTGTTTTGCTTTCACATTCTTGTCCTTCATATCATTTTGCTAGGAACCTCAGCACTGCCCCAGAATATATTTGCAGGACTAAGATTTGCCACATCCATCTGTATCTTGATCTGAGCTTTAGGATATTTGCCCTCAGGTAGGCTCAATTTTGGTTTGATCAGCCCTTTCAGCAATTTAGTCCTACACTCATTAGCTTTTAAATTACCACCTTGAATATTTTCCCTATAGTTTTGTATTTTTCTGGGGATCTGAGAGAGGAGGGAATTAAATAATGGGTTGAGACATCCATTTCAGACAAAAGAATCTTGTCTCCATTTCTTAATTGCTTGTGTACTTCATTCCATTTATTTGTGTCAAAATGGATGGGTGACTTTTCAGAAATTAGGAGGTGTTAGTTTAAGGGTTTTCTTAGGTATAACTAAATGTCATTAAAGAAAATCCAAGTGACAGGTGAGAAGAGAAGCCATTGGCCCTTTGAATAGAAGAGTAATATCAGATTTCTCTGGGTACTCTGTTGAGAATAGATTGTAAAGAGGCAAGGGAAGAAGTGAGACCAACTAGGAGGTTTTTATAATAGTCTCAATGGATTATGCTTGGAGAAGACTAATGGGGAGTGATAAGGAGTGTGTATGTATACAAAAATATGTATATACTTTTGTGGTTCTGAGGATCACCTCAGGGCCTTGAGATGTTAGGCAAGTGCTCTACCACTGAGCTACACCTTCAGCTGCTGCATATGTTTTTTTTTTTCTTTGGTACCAGGGATCAAACTTGGGTCCTTGTACTTGCGAGGCAGGTGGTGGATCCACTGAGCCAAATCCCCGGGCCCTGGATATGTGTTTTTGAAGATGAAAGCAACAGGTTTTGCTGATGGATTTATTGTGGGGATGAGGAAGGGACAATGATTAAGGATAACATCTAGTTTTGGCTTATGAACTTGCCATTTGCTATAATAAGTTAGTTCCATGTTGTCTGGTGAAGGGAAGAGGTAAGAGGACAGATAGATTATTATGAGCAAGCTTAACATTAGCTTGGATCAAATGAATGTTTGGGGTGGGAGAGTAAAACTTCTGAAATAACAAAAACAAAGGAATTGATGTTTGCCAAACCCAGTATATGTAGACATCTACTATGATCAGATGATCTTCTAGATGAATAAAATTGGATCCTTGTCCTTGGTAAGATGATAGCATAATGGAAATCAAGGAAGGTCTCACAAGAGATACAGTAGTTTGAACTGAATCTCAGAGAGTATATAGGAGTTTACCAGGCAAGGAATGGCAGAGTGGGTGTTGCAGGCAAAGGCATGAAAGTGCTAGGCATGTTGAGGTGAGTTTAGAGCAGCAGAGAATAGTATGAGAAGGATGGGTTGCAGGAAAGTATTCATAGGTGAATAGGCTTTGCTATATGGTGATATGGTGACCTGTAGGTCTCTTCTCATTGGGTTATGCAGTCTTAATTTCTCAGATAAATGAAGATAGTACACAGTGCAAACTGCATTTCATCTTTTTCTTTTAAAGTCATACTTTTAGCAAACACGACATCAAAGATAACAAGGTCCAGGGCTGGGGATTTAGCTCAGTGGTTCTGCTGCCTGCCTTGCAAGCACGAGGTCCCAGGTTCAATCCCCAGTACCAAAAAAACCAGATAACAAAGTCCCTAATTTGACTGACAATTCACTATCCTCAATTGTTCTTTTTTCTGGGCTTGGTCCATGTATAGATTTATATGGCTGTAATTTCAAAATAGAAATATTTGGAGTGTTTTGTTTCATTTCACTTTATTATCGCTTTAATATTTTTCCATATTCAGTCTTAGTAATGATCCCAGCTGCCAACCATTTCATTAAATGGATGTTCCTCCCAAATGTATAAAAGTATAACAGTGTTTCTTGTAGCATCATCTATAATGATGAAAAGTTTGATACATGTTAATAAGTGCATAATGTTAGGAGGCTAGTTTAAAAATTTGTGTGTGGTTTATCAAATTTAAAGGTAGAATTGGAGTGTTTATATGATAAGAGTAGATAGGAATTGCCAAAAAAGAGCACCAATTTCACATTTCCAAGTGCAATCTTAGTGTTTTCACTTGTCTGATAGGTCTAAATGCTGAGAGAGAGAGAGAGAGAGAGAGAGAGAGAGAGAGAAACACCTTTTAAGCACTGTATTTAAAAGTACTGGAAACAAAAAAAATAAAAAAATAAAAGTACTGGAGCGGGGTGTGGTGGTGCACTCCTATAATCCCAGCACTTGGGAGGCTGAGGGAAGATTGCCATGAGTTTGAAGCCAGCCTGGGCTACATAGTGAGTTCAGGGCCAGCCTGAAAACTACAAAGGGAGCCCCTGCCTTAACCCACCCCCCAAAAAAAGTACTAGACTGATTTTTAATGCATAACCACCAGTTATATTATAAATGATTAACATCTGATCATTTCAAAATTTGGATTGGTATTATAATTTATTACCACAATTGGAGAAGCTGTTTTTGTTACCTTTGTATCTCACAAATGATGGTTCATTCTAGCAGCAAATTGCCCGTCCCTCACAAGAAGAAAAAGTAGAAGAAAAGGAAGAAGATAAGGCAGAGAAAACAGACAAAAAAGAAGAGGAAAAGAAAGATGAAGAAGAAAAGGATGAGAAGGAGGACTCTAAGTGAGTTAAGTAATTGGAATTCAATAAGTCAAATATGTAGTTATTTTTAAATAATGGAGCTGAATTTGTTGAAGATGTGAAAAATTAGATAAAGGAATCAGTGGGACATTTATTTTCACCATCTGATAATTATTTATCATGATTAAGAAATGGAGTGTTTCAGCACATATAACTTCTGCTGTAATTTAGGAATTTATTTTCTAGGCATGGGTTACTACTTTCAGAGGGCTAGTTTACAGTAGCATACTCAACACCAAGATATTTTTATAATTTGATCTTTGATTTGGAAGATTCCCTAGCCCCTTTTCAGTCAGAGATGGTATGCATCTGAGAGCATAAAAATGCTGAGAAAGTAATAATTTTCATTGATACAATATTTTCCAGGATTTAAAAAATTTTATTATATAAAATAGAGTTCCTGATTTTTTGTTTGTTGATGTTGCTGTTTTTGTGGTTATGAAAGTAATTCTTGTTTATTATAGAAAATACGGAAAAGAAAGAAATATAATGAAAACCCTATCATTTGATTTTTCAGTTTGGAAATCATTGGTAACTTTTGACAAACCTTTTATTTTTGACTATGCTGTTGATCAAGTTGACAAAATATCTTTAACAAGAGGCTGTAAAATAGAAGCCAGTTGATAAGGATTAAAGAAGTAAATCAGGGCCGGGGATTTAGCTCAGTGGTTCTGCCAACTGCCTTGCAAGCGCAAGGATCCGAGTTCAATCCCTGGTACCAAAAAAAAAAGAAGTAGTAAAGCAGAAGAACTACACTGTACCTTTAATTTAGGGCTGAAGGGAAAGGAATTATTCTTGAAACTTTTGGGAGAAATAATCTGTAACTTGGTAAACCACAACAGGTCTCTTTACTTAAAGTGGATAAATTTTGAAAATAATCAGCATCTTCCATTAAGCAAGAATAATTGAATCTTTTGAGTGTTACCGGCTATTCATTTGCAAAAATGCATCTTAAAAGTACCTTATTTCTAAATGTAACCATCATGAGAAATAAATACTACTGAGAATAGTTTTCTTTTTTTATAATAAATTTTATTTAATTTTATCCCTTTCCCTCCTCAAGCCCCTTCCCCTCTCTATATACAGAAGCTTTGTTTCCATTTCTTCCTTCTATTTTCACTTTTTTTCTTGTCCCTTGCTTCCTCCTCCCTTGTTACCCTTTGCATTTGAACGCTTTCTGCTGGATTGATAGTCCCTTGCTAATTTTAAGAAATCTCTCTTTCCATAATCACCCCAATCCTGTCTTATATATCTGATATTTTGTCCTCACATTGGCTCATTCTGCTGTGTATACTTTAAGTGGAGTTTTTAATCTCCTGGATATCTGTTTGAACCTGTTTCATGGATTCCATTTCTTTCCTGTGCTAGGGATTCATGTTTTCCATCATGTTCCTGATTTTTTTTACCATCATGTTCCTCTATTTTATTATCTGTATCTTTCATTCTGTTCGCCATCTCTGTAGTTATGTGGGAAAGTATTTTTGCTTTGATTTTTTTCTAGACCCACATTCATTTGCTGTGTTACTTCTTCTGTTACCACTTATAAGAGAGTCCAGGTGGGTGGCTTTCTGATTGTTCCACTTCATTGCCCCCGGGGTTTGCCATTGGTGAGCTGAAAGTCTGCAGAGGTTGCATCTTATTTGAGTGTCTTCTCATTTTCTATTTTTTTTCAGATGCATATTGTTTATTAAAGATGTAAAGGCACTTCATTAATTTTATAAACCTCAAAAGTTAATACTGACTTTTAAAAATTATACTGGGCTCTTTTTTTTTTAATTCATTAAGTTTATTGATACATTTTAGGTATACAGTATAATGACATTCATCATTGGGAATTTGTACCTTTACATGATATACCTTGATTCTTTTTTCCCCATTCCCTTGCCCTTCCTTCAACCCCTCTAACCCTCCCTATATACAAAGACTATTTCCGTTTTTTCCTTTTCTCATATTTTTTCCTTTCCTTTATTTCCTTTCCCCTACCCTTCTCACTCCTCATCCCCTTCCCCTTTGGGCCTTTTCTTCCTATTTCACATTATCTATTATACAGTTTGATCCTCATTTACACTTTCAGTTTCTCACACCAGAGAAACAATGTGGTATTTACACATGTGTCCTATTTATTTCACTTAGGCGTGTGGCCTCAATGTGCATCAATTTAGCTATAAATGTCTCTAGTTTGTCATTCTTTATGGTTGAGCAGTACTCCATTTTATAAAAAAAACCATATCTTCTTTATCCAGTCACCAATTGATGGGCATTTGGATTGTTCCCAAGTTTTAGCAATTACAAACTGTGCTGCTATAAACATGGGTGCGCATATATACTGTGGTATGATGCTTTTAATTCTTTTGGGAAGATACCCAGCAGGGGAATAGCTGGGTCAAATGGGACCTCTAATCCTAGCTTTTTGAGGTTTCTCCATACTGATTTCCTCAGTGGTTGCACCAGTCTACACTCCCAGCAACAGTGGAGAAGGGTTCCTTTTTCTCCACAACCCTGCCAGCATTTGTTAGTGATTTCTTGATAGCAGGCCATTCTTCCTGGAATGAAGTGGAATGTCAGCATTGTTTTCATTTGCATCTCTCAGATGGCTAGTGATGTTGAACCTTTTTTCATATTTTTTTTGTTGTTGCTACTTGTCTGAGAAATGTCTGTTCATTTCAGATGCCCATTTTTGGATTATGTCTTTAAATTTGGGAGGTCTGATTTCTTTAAATTCTTTATACATTCTAGATAGTAGACCTTTGTGTGAGGAACAGCTGGTAAAAATTTTTTGGGGTTCACTCTTCACTCGTTGATGGATTCTCTTGCTGTGCAGAAGCTTTTGAATAAGATGAGATCCCAGGCCAATCTTCCTAATGAACATAGACGCAAAAATCCTCAATAAGATACTGGCAAACAAAATGCAGAAGATCATACACCCTGACCAAGTGGGATTCAACCTTGGAATGCAGGGATGGTTCAACATGACGTAAATCAATAAATATAATACACTATATTAATAGAGCCAAGAACAAAAACCACATCATCTGAAAAGATGCAGAAAAACCCTACAGAAAATTGAAATAGATGGTCTTTATTCTGTCCTGATTTTCTATTTTTTTAAAAGTTTGATTCCTGAGTTGATGCTTGTAAATTGCTTATGGTGAGTAGCTTTATTGCCAGTATTCAGAACCCTTAGCAAATAACTAGTGCTCAGAAGTGTTTTCCAGGTGTAGCTAGCTTTTGGGTTTTGAGTCTGTTGTAGGATCCTCCCTCTTCAGTTTATTGAGGATGAGAAGTTTCTGCCTGTTTGGCCCAGCTGCCAGTTCTTTGGCACTGGCCTATAAGTTTTTTAAGACCCTTAGGCAATCTCAGTCTTGTTATACCAGGAAGAACAACTGATTAGCACAGTTCTGTCACCTTGGCTAATGTGTGGTACAATCAGCAATAACAACAGCATCAAATACAGTCTAGAAAATGACAAATTGTAGCCCTTAATATGGCATTTTTACCCTTAGGGGATAAGATTTAAAAGGGGTTAGGGGTAAAAAACAAATAATAGATCAGAAGCAAGGCTGGAGGATAAACTTTAGGAAACTGGTGAAGAGGACAGGTGGGAAAGAGAAAAGGAAAAAAATAACAGAACAACAACAACAAAAAACTAGAAACTGTTTAGACAACCAAGAATAAACTAAATAAAACAAAACGAGAACTAGAAAAGAGGAAAAAAAAAGAACAAAGATTAAAAAAACCCAAAATGTCCAATTCAAGATGTGACTCTGCTGTCACTGTAGGCAATGTTGCCAAACAGAGTCCAGAGTGAAACTGATTAATCCCAGCAAGCTAGCTGCAGCTTCATGGTGGTGCAGTGGATAATCCAAGTTGGCCTGCCTCTTTATTTCCTTTGAAGTTGAGGCCTGTTTCTGGCTTATGAAGCTGTAGCCAGATTCCTTGAGCCTACACAGTCTCTGTGTCTCCTGCCAACTTGAACTCCGTTCCCTGACCTCCTGCTACCTTGAACTCAGCACATGCACCGAGGCACTGGGAGCGACTAGATGGAATATGCCTGCAGCTATTCTGAGTTCAGAGCTCAGTTGGCCTCTCTCCAAGATGCCTACCAGCCAGTCACCCTCTTCTGGCTGAGGTCTGAACCTGGATAACTCAACAGCCGCTTCAGTCCAGTGCATGCACTGGTCTGTCCACTGGTGTGTTTCTCCGTGGAGGACTCTGGGGTCATGAGTATTCACTGTGCATCTGTAGCCATCTGCAGGTTCGGCCCATCTTTCCCCCATGGAGTGTCCAGGCTCTTGGTACTTCCCTCCTCTTCATTAAAGTCTCTCTCTTCACTCTCCCTGCAGACTTCAGTTTTCACCTCAGATACTTCCTGGGTCCCGGGGACTGCTTCTCTCCTATCTCTCCTCCTCAAGCTGCTGTATTCCAGTGTTAGAACACCAAATCTCAGAGAATCCAGAGAATGGTTTTCTAGTATTTCTTGTACTACCATTATTGTTATAGTGACTACTATTTATTGAGTTTTCCCCAAACACCTGAGATGATGCTAAGTATTTTAGCCTTAATAATAGCAAACCTGTATGTCCTGGCACTGTTGTAGGCACTTTATATAAAATTAAGTCCTTTATTCCTCACAGCAGCTCTATGAAATACACTATCATTTTCCTTATTTTACAGATGAGGAATTTGAAGCTCAGTGAGTTGAGGCAGTTTTGCCAAGGTCACCTTTAGTAAATCACGGAGATCTGGTACAGACCCAGGCAGCCTGGCCCTGGAGATCATTCTCTTAACTATGAATCCATACTGCTGTGTTTGTCCATAATCGCCCTTGGAGGGGTTTCAGAATATTGAGGGGTTTTTTTTTCCTGTACCGGGGATTGAACTTGGTACCTTGCACTCGAGAGGCAGGCAGCAAAATCACTGAGCTAAATTCCCGGCCCAGGATAACAAGTTTTTTAAAAAACGTATTGTGGATTATTAATACAGCATAGGCACCTGTCAAGAAGATCATTTGTTTCAACTTCGTTTCACAGATATGACATTGTAGACCAAAGGAAAAAACCGGGGACACTGCCTTTTGGTGTAGCTCACTGCCTCTGGATTGCAAGTTTAATGATCCTTTTGGTGTCATTTGTGATTTCCTCCTGGACTGTTCTGAGTTTCAAGTTATTTGATTTGAAATTTGGTTATATTTTAACTCTTAATATGTAATTTCATTATTGTGAAATATCTTAATGTGAGCCAACTGTTGTGGCACATGCCGGAAGTCCAGGGTGTTCTGCAATCTAGCTACTAGAGTGGTGGAGGCACTAGGGTTGCAAATTTGAGGCCAACTTATTGAATGTTGTAAAATTTAAAAGAAACAAAACAAAAACATACCCAAAAGGTACTAGAGGTGTAGCTTAGCACTCCTTGGGATCAGTCTACAATACTGCTTCTCCCAAACAATAATAATTTTTAATCCACTCAAAGCTATTCTAGATTATGGGATGAAGGAATTTTCCATTACAAAATTTTGTAATTGGGGCCAGGGATTTAGCTCAGTGGTGCCGCCGCCTGCCTTGCAAGCACAAGGTCCCGAGTTCAATCTCCGGTACCAAAAAAAAAAAATTTTTTTGTAATTAACAAATTTGGTAGATTTATTCACTTTCTACTTGAAGCATGATCAAAACCATAATTTTCTTTGATTTATGTACACTTTTGTTAGTACATGTGTGTAGTATATGTTTATATTCCTTGTGGGAAATTGTTTCTTATATGTAACATATCTTAATTCCTGTGTATATATACTTTTAATTCCTGTATATATACTTAGACATTTTCATTTTCTTTTGTTTCCAGAGAAAATACCAAGGAAAAGGACAAGACAGAAGGTACAACAGAAGAAACTGAAGAGAGAGAGCAGGCCACACCCAGGGGGCGAAAGACTGCCAACAGTCAAGGACGCCGGAAGGGCCGAATCACCAGGTCCATGACAAACGAAGCTGCAGCTGCCAGTGCTGCAGCTGCAGCAGCCACTGAAGAGCCTCCACCACCTCTGCCACCGCCACCAGAACCTAGTGAGTGGGAAGAGTTCAGAATGAACAGGCTGTAATTTCTTTTGGGATTCTGTTTCAATGCTAGAATAGGACAGAGACCTCTAATATTGACAACCTGGAAGTAACTGTGAATTCTGGTCTTTAAATTTTAAAACTTGAACATCAAAGTCTTTTGAAAAAGAACATCAGCCTCAATCTTGCTACCCTGTTCAGCTATTTTTCTTTTTCATATAGCTATAATCTTAGTATGCATACCATTTTGTTTTCTGATGTTTTTACTTGATATTTATCACAAATATTTTCTAATTTCAAAGTAATCTCCATTTTTATTTTCTTAAATGGCTTTGCTGGGGCCAGGGATTTAGGTCAGTGGTGCCACGCCTGCCTCGCAAGTGCAAGGTCCTGAGTTCGATCCCTGGTACCTAAAAAAAAAAAAACGCTGTGCAGTGTAGGTGTTTTGGTTCTGAGGGGTCAAGCTGTCCTCCTCCCTTTAAGACATCACTAAGGGCTGGGGATTTAGCTCAGTGGTTCCGCCACCTGCCCCACAAGTGCAAGGACCCAGTACCAAAAGAAAAAAAAAGGACATCACTAGAATGAAAAAAAAAATGTATGCACATAGTGTTTTCTTTCTGTTGCTGTTTTTTACAGAACTAAATTCTTAGGCAAAGGTTTACTGGGCATAAGAATCTAAGCATGCTTTTCTCTCTTAGAAAGTACTATTTCATTAGTCTATAAAAGGATTCTCTTAATGTTAAGTACCACCACAAGTAGTTTCGGTGACACTAGTTTTATCATAAAACGAAAAATGAAAGACGCACATTGTAGGAATGATAAGAAGGAACAAAGAAAGATAGGCTTGGGGCAGAACATGATGAATCTTGTTTCAGCTGTATCTTGATTTGCTTGCAAAGGAGGGACCTTGCAAACATTTCAAAGTAGAGGACTGCTCTGAAAAGACTTGTGGTATAGAAAGATAACTTTGATGGCAGTTGTGGAAGCCAGTTTAGAGAAGCTAAGGGTTAGAGGCAAGAGGACATTGTGTATATGGAGGTGATGGATTCAGGAGATTAGAGTTGATACATGTTACTGGATGAGTCGTAAATGACAAGGAGAATTCAAAAAATCAGTCTGAGGAGATAATAATTCAAGTGACTGGGTGGGTGGTAGTACTGTTAATTGAGAAAGGGCCTATTGCAGGAGTGCTCTTCAGACTTAATATTTTCAGGCATTTTTCAATAAAGCAGAATCACAGTACATAATCCATCTGTGCCTACTGGATGCCAGACACTGAGGAATGAATTAAGTGAGTTTAGAGAAGAAGAGAGGGCACTCTGCCTGGACAGGAAGGAAGAGGGTTGTTTTTACTTTCATACTCAGGAGACAAGGAATGGAGATCTGCAAGGTGGGAAGGCACTGGTTGCAGCGGGACTTTCTCAAAGTAAGCTAAAGGTTTTCAAACATGTAGATGTGGATGGAGCTTTTGACAACATTGAGAAGTGTGGAACTTTGGTGTCTAGTTGTTGCAGGAGACATTGAGAACATCCAGTTTCCATAGTTTCTTTCACTAAATGCTTTAAACACACTTTATATCAGATAAATAAGTTATTTATATGTTCATCTGAATGAAGGATTTAACTTTGTTTTTCTCTGCTTGACTGGGTTTTCTCTTTTTATTTAAGTTTCCACAGAGCCTGTTGAGACCTCTCGATGGACAGAAGAAGAAATGGAAGTTGCCAAAAAAGGTAAATTATAGTGCTGTAGTTTGGACTGTCTAGGATTTGTTTTTGTTTTCTTAAAAAGAATAATTAGTAATGAGTGATAAGGAACTATTTTTTAATTGAAAAATATAAAAAAGTTCTTCCAAAAAGGTAACTAGAACTGAGAAACAAATTTAAGACTTTTTGATGGTGTGATACCCAGTAAGGTACTTCTTTTGAAAGTTTAAAGATTTTTTTGATGCAGTTTTATTTTGAGTAGAAATAAGTAGCTGTTCTCACTTTTTCAGAATAGTTGTGACTATATGCTATTAAAATTTTTGAACAAATTTTGATATAAAATGTGTATTTTTATTTTAAAGTTGCATTAAATAGAATAGTAACTTCTTTCTCAGTTTGGATTTGGTTAAATCTTTGATTATGAACCACTGAGAAATTGTACTATGATTCAGAGGAGAGAACATGTTTTATATCTGGGTAGACAAAGATTTGAATTCTGTTTCAGCTAGTTTTTTTTTTTTTTTTTTTTTTTTTGGTACCGGGGATTGAACTTGGGTCCTTGGCTTGCAAGGCAGGCGGCAGAACCACTGAGCTAAATCCCTGGCCCTGTTTCAGCTAGTTTTGTAGCTGTGTGGCCTTCCATCTCTCTGAAACTTTATGGATTTTCTGTTTGTTTCTCTGTGCTTCTTAATGTATAATTTGAAATTGAACTAGAATTTGTAATAGCATAAATAATGGTTAATTTTAAGAAAGATCAACTCTTTGGTTGTTATATTAGTCATTGTCTCATTGCTGTGACAAAATACTTGGCACTTGTAATTTAAAGGAGGAGAGGCTTACTTTGGCACATGATTTTAAAGCCTTCAGTTCATAATTGGCTGGGTCTAAGGTAGAAATAGCATGCTGGAAGGCATGGCAGAGGAGAGCTGTTCAATTCATGATAACCACAAAGCAGAGACCAAAGGAGAAGGAAGGAGGTAGGGAAAAGAATATACTCTTGCAGCTCATGTGCTAGTGACCCACCCCTTCAACTAGGCCCCACCTACTAATAGCACATGAACTACTGATAAACATGAGTGTAGAAAGAGTATAGTACTGCCTTGATCCATTCACTTTCCAACTTACGAGACTTTTGGGGGACATTTTAGATCTAAACCGTAACAGTGGTTAAACATTTACTTTTTAGCTCTGGTTCTACCGCCTTCTTTGGAAGCGCAAGGTCCTGGGTTCAATCCCTGGTACCAAAAAAAAAAAAAAAGCACATTTACTTTCTAGTTCTACATAGAAATTATTTTATGTAGCTTGATCTTTTGGGAACACATTTTATTCAGATTTTAAAAATATACAGCAGGTAATGAATGATACATTTTAGATTCATGTATAAGTTAACTTTACAAAAAAACAGTTTAAATTATTCTGTTTTCAAAAGTATCTTCATTTAAACTATTTGACATGACTGGCAAATACTACTAAATTTGTATAATTTCAAAAAGATTAACAAATATTCTCATTTCATCATCAAACTGGCATGGTTAAGTAAGGAAATATTAGCTATACATAAAATTATATTTTAATACAGATATAGCTATGTATGATTGTTTATATTCAACACTCAGTTGACTCTTTTTACTCACATATCAAGAAATTTGCTAGTCAGTTTTCTGTTCACATTATTGGAGAAGCTACTTGTATTAACCTTGAGTAACTGATGTTTATTAATAGTTAAGTTTGTATTGAAGATTCCTGCTTTAATACTCCTGTTATGTAAGGTTTATCTTGAGAGCTCTGTACATATGTACAGAGGCATTTATGTACTCATAATCTTTGCACACAGGTATATAATTACTGCATATATGTATTGATAAAAAGTGTGTTAAATTCTATAGGTTTCTCTAATGTATTAAAACAGGATTACGCCCCCTGCTTTGCAAGTACAAGGTCCCGAGTTCGATCCCCAGTACCAAAAAAAACCCCAAAAAATCAGGATTATTTTAAATACTAGTTAAATTTTTTTCAGGGCATTTCTTGAATGTGAATTGGCTGATGATAAATGCTGAGTATAAGTGAAGTTTTGTGTCTTAACTCTTTGTGTTAATAGTGGATATATATATTTTATTTTTAGTACATGTTTGCAATGCATTGTGTTTTACATTCATTGTAGGGAGTAGGTACATGTACTTAACGTCTTAATTTTTTTATTCTCCTTTCCCTTCCATCCCTCCATTTCTAAATACCCTTCCCATTTGCAAAAGATTTATCTCTGTTTTCCACTATCTTTTATTTTGCTCTTTAAGTTATTTATATTTTGGGTTTCCTAAATAAGAGAAACTATGAAATATTTAATCTTGTGTGTCTGATTAACTTCACATAACATTATGGTTTCAAGGTGGATCTATTTACTACAAATGATCCAAATTTATCCTTCTTTATGGCAGAGATATTCCATTATGTACAAATACCACATATTCTTTTTCTTTTTTTTGTACTGGCAATCAAACTCGGGACCTTGTGCTTGCGAGGCAGGTGGTGGAACCACTGAGCCAAATTCCCGGCCCAATATTCTTTATCCATTCATCTGTTGATTGGATACATAGGCCACTTCTAATATTCAGCTATTACGAATTATTTGTTGCTGTAAACATGGATATGCATGTATCTGTAATATGTCTAAAGACACCATATTTATATCATTTAACATCAAAAGAGTTAAAACTCTTGAGAAGATGCTTAGAACAAGAATAGCAAGGCTAATGGAATTTCTAGTTTTAGATTTTTGAGGAACCTCAATATTGATTTCTATTGTGTGTTTCTACCAGTTTACATTCCCACCAATAAATAATGACTTTTTTCCCACAGCCTTGTCAGCATTTGTTATTGTTTGATTTTTTTTTTGATGATAGCCATTTTTCTGGACTAAGATAGAATCTTAGTGTTGTTTTAATTTGCATTTCTCTGGTGGCCAGAGATGTTGAGCATTTTTAAATGTATTTATTGACCCTTTATACTTCTTCTGATAAGGTCTGTTTATTTCAGTTGCCCATATGTTTCATTGGTTCTTTTAATAATTTTATATTTGATTAACTTGTTATTGATAGGCTGACTTAAGGGATCTAGAAGTACTTAAGTGATATTTGAGCTATTAACTTTGGGTCCAAAATTATCCTAGCCCCTTGGCTAAGATACGTAGCAAGGTTATGGATTAGCCTCTTTATTCATGAGCATGTTTGAAATTTATGGTAAGAAATACAGAGCTAAAATGAGTTTTGTGTCAGTAAATATTTCAGTAAGGGTTGAAATGTATCAATAAGTAATTAAAAGCACCATTGTTAGTATTAATTTTTATGAAAACAATGATTAAGTTGATTTATTTTCTCTTATATGCTTAATCAGGTGACTGTTAAACTAATGCTTGATCTATTTTGAAAATACAGGCCTAGTAGAACATGGTCGTAACTGGGCAGCAATCGCCAAAATGGTGGGAACTAAAAGTGAAGCTCAGTGTAAAAACTTCTATTTTAACTATAAAAGGCGGCACAATCTTGACAACCTCTTACAGCAACATAAACAGAAAGTGAGTATAACAGAAGTGGTGAATCTTGTTTAGTTTTTGAGTCTAGAGTTTGGTTTTAAAAGAAGCTTTTTTGTATCTTATATTTTTATTTGTGCATTTACTTATAAGAGGTATGCCAGCTTTTCAGTACAGCTTGACTATTTCTCTTTTTTTTTTACCCACAGAGAAAGTTTATATTTGTAGCAGTGGGAATCAGTTCTTTTGAATTGCTGTAGACTGGATTTGAAAAATACAGTTTTGAATTTTATTTGAAAACTTTAGGTGAAGTTCTGTTGATCATGTCAAATGAGTAGATTTGGTATATTTAAAAAAATCTTTTCAGAGAAAGCTTCTGTGGAATAAAAAGGCCAGGGAGTGTAAGAGTATTAAAAATGTCTAGTGTAATGGTTCTTAGAGATTTTTAGCAGGTTTGTAAGGTAAAAACTGTGTTCATAAAAATATTAAGATATCAATTTGCCTTTTTTCCACTGTGATAATGTCAGAGCAGCTCTGGTAAAATTCCTTACATCAATCATGGGAAAGTACGAATGTGGTAGTACTGAATGTATTTTTATCTTGAGGCATTTCCAGGTGTTTTTTTTTTTTTTAAAGAAAAGCCAGTTTTATTGGGTGTGGTGGCACATACCTATAATCACAGCACTGAGGAGGCTGAGGCAGGAGGATTGCCATGAATTCAAGTGCAGCCTGGACTGTAGTAAGTTCAAGCCTGGCCTGGAATACATAGCAAAACCGTATCTCAAAACAACAACAGAAAGAGAGAAAGAGAAAAGGAAAAGCCAGTTTGAGGTCTGGCAATGTAGCTCAGTGGTAGAGTGCTTGTTTGATACAAGCAAGACTCCTGAGTCCTGGCCTACTACCAAAAGAGAGAAAGAGAAAGAAACAAAGAGGGAGAAAAGTAAATAAAAAAAATAAATAAATAAAATCCTAGTTTTGCTTAAGAATATCCTTGAGCAGAAACAACAACAATAATAATGTTATTAAATCTTGACCCTTGAGACCCTTTTTAACTATATCTCTCTGATAAAATGAGAAATATATCTTGTGCTTTATACCAAAGTATAATAGTTTTCTCAAGAAAAAGTGCTTTTGCAACTATGAGTTCTATCTGAATTATACTTTCTTTTTGGTGCTGGGGATTGAACTCAGGACTTTGCACTTCTGAGGCAGGTGGCAGAACCACTGAGCTAAATCCCCGGCTATACTTTATTTTTTAATGGAATATCATTTTTAACTGAAAGAATGATAAACTATGACTTTTCAGATTTTGATATTTGGCAAATAGTTTGACAATAAATGTTCTGCCTTTCAAAGAAAACAATTCATTAAGCGCAAGGTCCAGAGTTCGATCCCTGGTACCAGAAAAGAAAGAAAGAAAAAACAATTCATGTGTGTTAGTTTTAAGTTAATGTAAGAAAATACCTGAGATATCAACATAAAGGTAAAAGTTATGTTGCCTCATTGTTTTTGGAGGTTTTTATGGTTGGGTGGCCCCATTGCTTTTAGGCCAGTGGAAAGGCAGGCAGCACATCATGGCGGAACAGTGATGGAGACAGGCCATTCACCTCAAGGCTGGGACAAGAAAAAAGGGAGGGAGAGGTTGAGATCCTGATATCCCCTTCCAGGGCATGTGTCCAATGACTTAAAGCCTCCTTCTGAATGGGCCCCATCGTAAAGGTTCTGCCACCTCCAGATAATGTCAGGGGCTGGCAACCAAGCCTTTAGGCCTTTGGGGTCATTACATATTCAAACTGCTAGCCATGAGCTTAACATCTTCCTATTATAGACTTCTGGTGAGATCAATGGTAATAAAAGCAATTGTGATATTATATAATGAAATGTATCCCTATTTGAAAAATCTGCTTAAAGTCTCAGTTTCTTTTTCTTTTCCTTATTTTTTTAAGGTTGTAGGGATTAAACCCAGGGCCTTGCTCATATTTTACAAGCATTCCCATCACCAAGCTACATCCCCCATCCCTCAATATTTTTCATTTCTTTTTTGGTACTGGAGATTAAACTCAGGACCTTGTGCTTGAGAGTCAGGCAGCAGAACCACTGAGCTAAATCCTCGGCCCCCTCAGTATTTTTGAAATGAACAATTCTTTTATTGTTAAAAGATTTATTTTGTTTTTTGTTTGTTTGTTTTGGTACCGGGGATCAAACTCAGGACCTTGCGCCTGCAAGGCAGGCACCGGAACCACTAGCTAAATCCCTGGCCCTGTTAAAAGATTTATAAAAAATGGTTTTAACGTTCCAGAGTTCAAGACAAATGAATAAGGTTTAATAGAGTACAAATAGTTTTTTAATATGGTTTCAGATTTCAAGTAATCTTTAAGTAGCTACTACTTACTGAGTCTTGGTATAATATCAAAGAATAATATCTACAACCTTTAAAAAATGACTACTTGTTCAAGTTTTGATACAGTATCAAAGCATAATACCCACAATTATCTGGTCTATTAAAATACTATTTTCTCTTCCATTTGTATATTTGTGTGAGGCCAGAATTTTTTCATGTATTTCAACCAAAACATTATATCTAAGATTAGATTATATATGGAAGCGTAGTAGAGAATTATGCTGTTTTCTGTTAAACCAAACATTAAAGAGATGTCTGAAAAATAAAATAGTGCCACTTTTCCACTCAGTTATCTTAGGTTATTGTTTTGGGGGGAAATAATTTTTTAAATTAAAAAACATGTTCTTAATGTTGACATATAAAGTATTTATGGTTGCTTTTAATGAGTTAGTAAATGGCCACCCCCTTTTCCCCCTAATGGAAAGCTCCTTAGGGTCCTTAATACTTTGAGGTCCTTAGATCAAAAAAAAAATTGAGAATCATTAAGGAGTGATGAACTAATGAAAACTGAGATATTCAAGGTTGCTATGATCTGAACTTACAAAAAAAGTGTGCAAAATATAATACTGATTTTACATGGTGTATACAAAAGCAGCTGTCTAGATTAAAAATAAATTGAATGCAGGAGTTTACAATGTGTTCTGGTAACAACCAAAACACAAAGGAAAAAAATAACAAAAAAGTTTACTGTTAAAGACTTGACTTCAGAAGATACCATCTAAAATGTTTCAAAAGAAAGTCAAGTAAAGAATGAAAGAGGTCATGTTTCTAACGATATGAATGCTATATTTGTTAGAGATCTTCAGGGAGATTAAAGAAGCAGAATGTGTTTATACATATATATAGAGAGAAAGCCATGGGGAATAAAGAAGTGGGACAGGGTGAGGAAGTATTTTTTAAGGATTTGGCTTTTGCAATTATGAAATCTTACTCAGTTCAAAATCTTACGGGGTCAGGTCTGCTGGCAGACTGGCGATTTCCAGAAAAGTTGGAGTTGTAATCTAGAGGTGATCTGCTGCAGAATTCTTCCTTACTGCGGGTGTTGGGGAGATCAGACAGTCTTTGTTCTGTTAATGACTTCAATTGATTGGATAAAGAATATTCCTTACTGAAAGCCCACTGATTTAAATTTAATCTCATTTTCTAAAAACACCTACACAGAAACATCCAGAGTAATGTTTAACCAAATATCTGGGCAAAGTAGCCCAGCCAAGCTGACATAGAATTAGCAATATAAATAATTACAATTAACATAATACAGAGAGCAGGCTTCAATTCATTATCTAAAAAAAATAAAATCTTTATCTAGAGTATTTTCCTTTTAGAAAAAATTCAGAGATTTAAAACAAAATTTTAGAAAAGATACATGTGACCTTGGGGTCTTATGGTCATATGAAAGTGCGTGCGTGTGTGTGTGTGTGTGTGTTACAATTCTGTGTCATTTGGATTAAAATTTAATGAACAGTATCATATAGGATAGAAAGTGCTTGGAGATGCAGCAAGAAATTTCATATGAAGAGAGGACTGTTGTCCAGTGTTGGTAAAAAGCTGTCACTTCTGTAAGTATTAGTAAAGATCAAATAGAATGAATTAATGTTGGCAAAGGAGGGCCATAGATTAGACACTGGAAAAATCCATATAATAGCTGTTGTCTAATGCTTGAAAATATTATAGTATTATTCATGGAATCTTCTGAAAGGTCTTAAAAGGAGTATGACCATTGTCTATTTGAGATTATTCCCTTACATTTCTGCCAGAAGGAGTAGATAGACGGCCTTGAGAATTTCACCTAGTTTTATGACTAACCTTGGAGATTATTTCTCTTGAGATAATTAAGAGATTAGATTGCATACAAATTAGCATTGTCATATGTAAACTAAGAATAATAACTAGATATACTGATAATATTTTAGCAGTTGGGGCAATGTATTAGTTACTTTCCTGGCCTTGGGACAAAAAAACCTACACCCACAACTTAAAGGCAGAGAGGTTTATTTTGGGTCATGGTTTGGGAGGAGTTAGTCCATGGTTAGTTCACACCAGGACAGAAAAGCAGGGTGGAGGAAAGCTGCTCAATCCATGGCAGCCCAGAAAGCAGAGGGAGAGAAAGGAGGATCTAGGGACAAGCATATACCTTTCCAGGTCATGGCACCAGTAACCTGCCTCCTCTAACCAGGCCCCACCTCCTAAACAGCATATTCACCTATGGATTCATCAGTTGGATTAATCCACTGATAAGTATAGTGTCCCTGTGATCCAGTCACCTTCTAAAAGTCCCACCTGTGAACACATGAGACTTCTGGGGATATTTTAGTTCTAAACCGTAACAGAAGTAGTGATCTATTTTCCTGAGTCTTGCTGGGAGAAGCTGACAACTGAAGTAAGGTGAAATGTAGATTCTGTGAGATACATAGAACAGAATTGTCAGAGCTGTCAGACCATGTATCTGCAAACACAGAAGACCTTAAAAACTGTGTTTAACAATGTGTTATAAATACAGTGTAAATAGCTAATATCTTACATTTAGATACATACATATATTTATAGAGATGTGATCCCACTAGAAGAATAAGTGATTTTACATAATATGTAGTTTGGAAAATGGAACATACTATTTAAACAATAACAAAAAGGAATTTGTCTTCATGATTAATAAATTCAGTAGTGTCACCAATAATGAGTTATTGCCAGTAAAACTGCATATTTGTTAAAGCTAGTGAAGGAAGTTTATTGAGCATTAATAATACCAAGAATTGAAAATTACTTAAATGCCTGCAAATAGAAGAATTTTAACTATATATTGACAAGGGGTTTTTTTGTTGTTTATTTGTTGTTTTTTTTGAGACAGTGTATCCCTATATAGTTCAGGCTGGCCTTGAAGTCATTATGTAGCCCAGGCTGGCCTCAAACTCTTGATCCTCCTGCATCAGCCTCTCCTGAGTGCTTGGGATTACAGGCATGTGCCACAGCTTTGATAACAGTATTTCTATGGAACTAAGTTTGAAGAATTTATAACATAGGGATATATTCAGTTTTTGGCTACATTAGGTTAAAAAATAGCGTATATAATAGGGCTATCCAAGATGTGTTCATATGTATACATAAAGATTTCTATATGGATACATTCATGGAAATGGCTGAAAGGAAATGTACCAGTATACTTAGAATCTCTAGCTGTTCAAATTGTGAGTAGTTATTTTTATAAAATATTATTTTCTAGGCCTTCCACATTTTAATGTATATGTTACCTTTATTAGAAAATAAGTGTGTTATTTTAATTAGAAAAGTACACTGTTTGGAGAGGAGCTTGGTATTTGTAATTGCAAAAATGGTTCAGATGTAACTACCTATACAAAAGGTAGTTAGTTGGTAGTTGCCCAGAGACTTTTGGACTTTAACCAAAACTGCTGTCAGATACAGTCTTGTCTAGTATGTTTGTCAGAATTCTGCACTATTTCAAAAATGAAAAAGTTTGAGTTTTTAGTTATTTCAATCATCAATAATACCATTTACACCTTTAGACTTCACGAAAACCTCGTGAAGAGCGAGATGTGTCTCAATGTGAAAGTGTCGCTTCCACTGTTTCTGCTCAGGAGGATGAAGATATTGAAGCCTCCAATGAAGAAGAAAATCCAGAAGATAGTGAAGGTATCTCAGAATCTTAAATTTCATTGCAACTTCTGCTATCCCGTATATGTAATTTTACTATAGTCATTTTTGTAGGAATTGCTTCATTGAAGAAATATATCAATGTTTTTATTGCAAATTTTAAACTTAAACATAATGTATTTATTCATTTGATCAACTAATATTTATGTAGTGCTTAAGGTGCTCCAGGTGCTACAAACAGAAGATCTTGACAGTGACAGTCCTGTTTCAGATACTAAGTGACAGCATCAATAAAAATGTATGTGTGTCTTTATTGTTCCCAAATATACCTGTTCATTTTGTATCTTAAGTTATATTTCTCTATAGATTTATTTCATATTTTTACAAAGATTAACATATATCATATTTATGCTTTCATGTAACAAGAATTAATGACCCTAAAAGCGGTGATAAAAAAATAACCCTAGAAACTCTAAGAAATAAAATACCTTTTGTAACTTAAATTAATGACAGTTTCCTAAAAATAATGTGTGTTTTTTAGTTTTTGCTGAAGAGTGAAAAAAGCACCTAACTTATTTCACTTTACTGTTAATATTTCTGTGGATTTTCCTGTAAATTGTTTCTGCTGTGGAGATTCTCATGCGACTTTTAGTAGCTCTTTATATATTATATATTAAACATGTTCATGTTTTATATGTGTATATCTTATTTGATTTTTGTTTTTTTAATTAACAGAGTTTAATATTTGTATATATTATAGCTGTTTATCTTTTTTTGGGGGGTGAGCGCTTATATTTTATATAAGCTTTGGAAGCTCTATACCTGCCAAGTTTAGAAATACTAGATTTATTTTAATATACAGATTAAACTCGTCTTTTAAACTTGAAATTTATCTTGAATTGTTTGGCTTTAAACAATAAGTAAACTTTTTTCTGTGAGTTTTTTTTTTTTTTAAAACGAGGTAATTGTTAATTATAAAGAGAATATTGGAGCAGGCTCACCCTGGATAGTGTAAGAATGCCACAAATGGTAGAAGTCAGTTTGGTAACTTTAGGGTACTTTCAGGAGTTATAAGAGTTTGTTCATTTTAATGGGTTTGTATCTGGTTGCTATAGTATTCCTCTCTGGTTATAAATGTAAATGACACTATTACTATATCCCTCTTGTCCACAGTGAAAGTTATCTGCATGTACCACTATCTGACAGTGTTAAATGGAACATTTCTTATTTTGAAAAAGATACCACATTCACCTGACTTTTATTATGCTACATTGTTGTAATTCTTCTATTTCATTATTAGTTATTGTTAATCTCTCATGTGCCTAATTTCTAAATTAAAATATCACAGTTATGTATGTATAGTACAGAATATAGTAAATGTAGGGTTTGATACCATCTGTGGTTTTGGGTATCTACTTAGGGTCTTGGAATGTATTCCCCATGAATAAAAGGGGACAACTATTAATCTTGGGCTGCCACAATAGAATACTACAGACGGAGTGGTTTAAACCACAGAAATTTATTTTTATAGTTCTGTTGGCTAGAAGTCCAAGATCACAGTGCTGGCCGAGTTGCTTTCTGATAAGAGCTCTCTTCCTGCCTTGAAGATAGCCAGCTACCTCCTCACTTTGTCCTCATATGACCTTTCTTCTGTGTGTGCACACTCATGGTATATGTTTCTTTTCAACAACAGCCCCACTGGATTAGAACCTACCGTTATGACCTCATTTAACTTCAGTTACCTCCTATATGCCCTTTCTTGAAATATGGTCACATTGGAGGTTAAACCTTCAACATAAGAATTAGAGGAAAGGGTTACAATTTAGTCTGTAATAGAACCAAGCCTATTCTCATAAATCTGTTAATTTCAGACCACAAAAGCCTATCCATAGATAGGCTAGCAGATTCTTAAAAATTGAGTACCAACAGTATCATTTTCCACTCTGTTTTCTTCCTGTTACTTTGTCTTAATGTGAAGATTTTTCTTCAAGTATGATAATAAAATTAACACCATACTTTCCCAAGTATGGTATACCAACTTACTAACGAGTTCCATTCAGGGAGAATGTTCGTAAGTTGGATTTGTTAGTAAGTCCAACAAAGTGAATCTTAGGTGAAAGATACATGCTGTTCATCTCATTTTTTTCTTCAAGTTTTCAAACAGTTTTAGCTTTTTCTTGAATAAGCCTTGAACTGAGTGGGACTCAAGAAGTTTCTCCGTCTCCTCTATCACTTTACCACACTTTTTGGATATTATTGTTGACTTCATTGGCACAGCAGACTTAACATGTTCCATAATCTTGTCCTTGTTCTTTAGAATTGTGCCAGTGGTTGAACGATTCATGTTGTTAAGACCGAGCAAAGTCTACCATCTTTTTACCTCAGTTTAGTCTCTCAGTTATTTTCACTTTCATTTCCATGGTTTTTACTTTGTGCTTCCTAGCAGTCTCCTCTACATCACCACTGCTTCTCTTCTTGCCTCTGGACATCCTGGGCTCTGACTGAGCACAGTACTACTGTACAGTATCACACTGTACAGTAAGCACACAGCAGCACAGCTGTGACAATATCCAGCAGAGACCTGAGCTACCTCTTGTTCGCATTTATGAATGTTCGTAATATGAGGCCTGTTCATATCTATGAAAGTTGCAACTTGAATGTTTGTGAGTAGAGGACTTACTATATTAAGGTAATGTGTCCATCTGATCCAATGTAGGGTAGCATGGTCACATTTTGTGCAGTCCTACATATGGTTATCCAGTGACATATAGAATAGTGCTTTATTATGTCAGAGAAAAAACGTAAATGCAATTTACATCACCTATGATTCTACACTTATTGTTAATCTTAATGAGACACTACTGATCCACCATTTATTGTGTGGCAAGGCTCTTGCCAGTGGAAGAATAAAGGCAGCTGCTAAGGAGCAAATTCCTTTATCTCTTTTCCTAAAACACATCTGACTCTGTGAGATTCTCTCCAGAATCAGAATAAATGATTAGTTAAATCACAAAGCCCCTGCCTGCTTCCCTCTTTCCCTCCCTCTCTCCTTCCCAGTACTAGGGATTGAACAAGGTTGGGCATGCTCAAGTGCTCAACCACTGAGTTACACCTCCTAGCCCATTTTATTTTGAAACAGGGTCCCACTAAGTTTCCCAGGGTAACCTTGAACTGTGATCTTCCTGCTTAAGCCTCTTGAGTAGCTGGGATTACAACTGTGTGACACTGCACCCAGTTGCTTGTGTGTTCTTGTTCTAAATCATACAGGGAGGGTTTTTTGTTGTTTTCTTTGCTTTTAGGGAGAGAATACATTTGGTTGTTGCTTGGAGAAACATTATGCTTTAGAAATATTCCTGCTCTTCTGTATCTTGGGAGAAGATAATTTAAAAAGTGCTTATATTAAATGACAGTCACTGATGTGTCTTCTGATAGTTTCGTAAGTGACTTGTCAGTTTGCCCCTGGTTTGGGGGCTTTCCATCACTACATAAAGAAATAAACGTTAAATCAGGCTTTTTGTTAGCTTTTTCTATTTTGTTAGCATATTTTGCTAATGGTAATTGTTATCACATATAAAGGCCTTACTACATCTGAGGTATTTTTCTCAATTCTTGTCTTTTATTTTTGAGACTTGAACTCTTAGTATTTCCATTTGAATGCCTAAGAGTCATCTCAACATTAACATCTGAATCAAAGTTTGTTTCCCCAGGATCACAAGCTGCAACTTTCTCAAGTCTTTCCCTGTCATTTATTGTTACTTTTATAACTCATTCATATCCCACTCATGGTCCATCAGCAAATCTGGTTAGCTTTTCCTTAAACATGCTCTTCAGAATTGGATTTCTCCTCTCCATTGCACTAGCTTCTAGTTTGGCCTCCTTGCTTCTTTTGTTTTCATTCTGTTTTTCTTCCATAAAGCAGCCAGAATGCTTCTTATAAAATATATACCAGATTACTTTTTTCCTATTCCGAATCCTATAGTACTTTCCCAACTTATTAAGAATAAAAGTCCAGAGGCCTTTCTGTGGCTGATGAGGCCCTACATGAATTGGCCTTTGTGGCTCTCTATGAACTTTATTTTTTCTTCAGTGCTAGGGTTTCAACTCAGGGGCTTCACACTGAACTCCATCCCTGGCCCTTTTTATTTTTTGAGAAAGATTCTTGCTAAGTTGATAAATTGACAGGCTGGGCTTGAATTTGTGATCCTCCTTCCTCAGCCTCCCAAAGTGCAGAGATTAGAGGTGTATGCCACCATGGTCAGCTCCTGTGTGACCTTTTTGCCAACAGCTTTTCTGCTTGTTCGCCTTGCTTCCACCGTACAGTCCTTCTTTCTGTTCCTAGCAAAACAATTCCATCAGGGGCCTTGGCACTTTCTGATCTCTTTCCCTGGAATGCTTTTCCCTAACTGTGCCCATGGCTTACTCTTACACTTCCTTCAGGGATCTGTTCAGATCTTTCCCTATAATCCATCTTCATGTACTCTTTAGTTTTGTTTTGTGATTTAGTAACTTACTTACTGTGTCAAATATTTATTCATCGATTATTTCTCACTACAATATGATCTCCTTGAAAACATATAATTTGATTTTTTTTCACTGCTGTGTTCCCTGTACCTCAAACAGCTTCCTGCACATAGATTCTTCATAGACCTGTGACTCAATGAAATAATGAATTTATAGGGTTTTAAAAAAGTTTGTCATATGTTAAAAATTTATTTTTCAAAGATGATCATATAATTTTTAATTTTCCCATGCAGCTGTCATATTTATGGTTTTATAGTTTTAGTTTTCTCTTTTCCTTAAGCTATTTCTCCATATTTCAAAAGGTTATATATATCTTGTCCTAATTTAACATCTAAACATTAAAAATAAACCTTTCATCTGGATTTTTTTTGTACAAAGTAAGATAAAGCTTGTGGTTTTCTTCTAGCTAAAGAGCCAGTTCTGACAGAACTGTTTTATTAAATCATCCTTTACCCATTGATTTAAAATATTACCTGTAATTAGCTTTATTTTCCATATACATTAGGATCTATTCCTGT